CTTGGCCATTCTATGCGAGTCAAGTTCGTGCCTGGGGCTGGGGGGGTCCTGAGGTCGTATTAAAGGTAAAGCTTTTGATTTAGGCGGATGTAGTATCCGACTCTGCGAGTCATTGTTCCTCGAGACTCAGTCGTGGCATCGCTGCTCGTTTCCATTATGGGTGGTGTAATTTCAGACTGTCGTGTCCGTGTGTGCCGGGGGACTCGGTGCAGAGAAAGCTGGTGATTTGTATCAACGGTCCCGAAATCGCAAAACGTTGTGCGTCAGAACCTTGGTACGATTCGCATCGCTTCCTTGAGCTGCGTTTCTACTTTCTTCAACTGTAGCTCCCCAAGGGAGCATAAGAACTTTGCGTGGCGGTTGCATGCAACACGTGGGCACTTGTTCCTCATGCGGTGCTGGCAAATTTTCCTCACACTTTATCCTCGCCTCGAACTCCTGCTACGTCTTTCCAACGTGAAATGAAGCACACTAACGATAGCCAAAATTTCTCCCACCTGTGTTTGTGCTTCCATAGCCTGAAACCATGCCTCACGGCATGATCTGGTCCTTAAGACGTAATTTGGCAGATTCATGGCATTTTTTGCACGTCCACTGAGACCTTTCCTACAGCAGCAAGCTTATCTATGCCTCTCTGTGCACGGCCATTATGTGACATTTCAGTCAGGCCGGTTGCTTCGCTTTCTCACGTACATTTTTGAAACGCCCTTTGTCATATGTAGTTCAAAGCCATAGCCTCATAGCCTTTTTCCGCTTTCAAGTAATCCCCCAATTCGTTGTTAGCTGTGGAAATGGGGTTGGTTAGTTCTCTAATGACGGCTCTGTTGCCGTCTCGGTGTCCTTCAACTCTCTTCTTCGTCTTCACTCGCTTTCCTTCCTTTTCTCTATCTTTCTTTTGCTTTCCCGTTCTCTGTCCGTATCTTTTCTTCATCTTTCCTCTTTCGTCACTTTTCTTTCCTTTTCCCATTCTTTGTCTTTCTCAGTTTGTCTCTCTTTCTGTTTGCCGCTCACTCCCGCTCCATCTCTCTCTCTTTTTCATCTCTCTATCTCCATTTCTCTTCTCTCTCCCTGTCTCCCTTTCCATTCCTCTATCTTTACGTTTTTAATTTTTCTTTTTGTCGATTTCTTTCTCTTTATTTCTCTTCCTCTCGTCCTCATTCACTTCACTTTCTTCTCCCAAATTCCCTCAGTTTCTTTCCGTTCCTCTTCCCCCATGCCAATTTTCCCCATTTTCGTACTTTTATTATATTTCTTCTATTTTTGCTATTCTATCTTTGCGTTCGTTCATCTAACTCTTTCTGACCGCCTTACTCTCCCCTCTGCTGATTCTGTTGATTTGGTTTCTTGCCCTTTTCGCTTTCTAGGTTAATACCCTCTCATCGATCCGCCCTTGAGATGACGTACGTTGTTAATTAAGAATTTATCGAAGAACCGTTGGTTACGATGGAAAACTACCACTTCATGGCATAGGGCTTAAATGAACATCGAAGATTCTCATTTAGTTCGAGTAATTGCGAGCTACCCACCATATTTATATGTAAATCTCTTGTGTCAGATTACAGCGCTTGTTCAAATACTGTAAGCTTAACTTTGATTCGTAAAGTTCAAGTGCAGCGAATGCAGTAGAATTTATCACAGACAATTAAATTGATTAGTTGTATAATGACTATTCGAAAACAGAGGGTTAAAATGAGTGAAAAACGAAGATACGGAAACACAAGGACACGTGACAGTCATAGTTTTCCGATCTGGTGCAAACTCGAGGTGCGAGTCAGAAAATTCCCTCAACTCTTAACTGCTATAAGTAAGAAATTCGTCGCATATTGTTTCGGTGCAACTAGTCGATAAACAAATGACAGCTGGCTAACCTGCGAACAGCGGGGGCAGCATGGGGTTCTGGTGTCGTAACAGGCGGGGTGATATGCTGTCAGATACGGGCACATCTTCGGGGCGAAGTTCGCGCTGACCACACCTTATGACTCACCATGTAGTGCAGTAACCAACACAAAGTATAGACGGACAAATCAGTCCAGCCGTCACTCCTATCTGTCTGATGACAGTAAACTAAAATAGGTGAGGTCATCGTTGAAAGTGCTGGGGCAGGTCATCTTTCGCCGCTTCAGGTGGGAGTGCGACTAATTTGGCTGTTTATAAACTTTTTCGCTCAAAACTTGTAATTTGCTACGATTTGAAACCGGACCCGTTTCAGGGAGACGTCTGAAGGCCACGGTGCTTCACCAGAAAGCACCAGCTACAGTTTCGAAGATGCAATACAGTAAATACCATATTAAACTAAACTATTCGGTGATAACTAAACTGACAAAGCGTGTTGCCCCTTACATCGTCGTAGAACCATAGCTATCCTTGAAAGGGTTCAGTATCGATCAACAGTAAATTTGACATCACCTGGCTAACTTGGAGACGAATCGCGCTGGTAGCAACACGCCTGCCTTTCCTCACGATTTTCAGCCTTCTCCCTCCTAGCGCGTCCTTTCCAGCTGCTGATACAATCTTCCGACCAATCGGCGCAGTTTGCCCGCGAGGACGCAAGTCGACGGTCATCGCTGGCAACCTCCTGTCGATGAGTCTAGCTTCGTGTCTGGCCTACTGTAGCTTTTTCCTTCTGCTTCCGACCACAAAGTCCTTTCCTCACATCCGCGTTCTGATCACCGTGTTGGTGATGTAGTAATGACGTGGAATTCTCAACATTCTTCTTTCCGGTGGCAGAAAGCTGACGTTCTTCTATTCTAGTGAGAGACCAGGTTTCACAGCCACACGAAATCGCCAACAGGACGGTAGAATCGAAGAGGAGAACTCGGGAGTTTTTTAATTGATGCTTTTGAGGAGGACGTACTCGATTAAATGGAGCGCGCCTCAAGCGGCCCTCGTTTAACGTAAAATCACTCTGGTCTATTCGTGCCGTATGTTCATCGCTTGGCCTAGGGAAATGCATTGATCGACTTATTCCATGTTTTCGTCGTGTACCATAACCTGGGCCTTTGGCAAAGCATCCGATCGCAAATCTTTGTCTTTGTCACATTAATTCATAGTGTGACTTCTGCACTGTTTCTGTCGAGCTCTTGCAGCATGTCTTGTAGCTGAATGACGCTATCCGCAAACAGCACCAGGTCATCAGCGAACTTAATGTCTCTCATCATTGATATTAATTAATACAGTCCTTCTAGTTCCTCCTGCAGAACACCGTTTCCAAACAGGCAATGAGGAATTGCAATTCAGGGAGACTGTGTCCTCCTTTTCACTCCCTTCTCTACGAGAATCAGAAAGGGGTGCCCGACAGCTTGATATCTGTGAAACAGCCGGAGTTCGCTTCCTTCAGCAGGTAGATGTGACGGGTGTCGATGCCATGTTCTGCCAGTGCAGTCCAAATTGCGTTTTACTCGACAGTGTCGAACGCTTTGTCGTACTCAACGAAAGCTATGCGCTGAGAGGATTAAAATTTCCTCACGCGCTCGGTCACTTGACTCATGTGACAGATGCTATCCGTTGCACAGTAGCTGCTTCGGAATCGTACCTGTTCTCTCGGCGGCTGGTCATTCAGATCTGTTGGTGATTAACTTACTGAACAGCTTGTCGAATTGTCAGGAGAGGTTTGCTGTGCAGTTGTCCTTCAGATCTTCCTCCTAGTCGTTCTTCAACGACAGGATTGTTTTTTTACTCCTTCCAGCTTTTTGCTTTGTTTTTAAGTTTTCGTTGGCGATTGAACCTTTCCCCTAGAGCCCTCTACAGTGATTAAACGCCTTGATCGTTTTCACTGTCAGACTGTCTTATCCTCGATCCGTTTTTTCCTTCCTTTGCTGCACGTCATGCCGAACTTCGCTTATGAAGACCGAGAGTGCACTTCATTCCGGTTGTTGCATTGACGGTGTCGGGGGGGGGGGTAGCATTCACGCAAAGAGCTG